CCCCGCCCCTGTCCTCAGGCCCCACCTCCCTGCCCTCAGGCCCCACCTCCCTGTCCTCAGACCCCGCCCCTGTCCTCAGGCCCCATCTCCCTATCCTCAGGCCCCTCCCCTGGCCTCAGACCCCACCTCCCCCCTGCCCTCAGGTCTCTCCCCACCAGCCCATTCCACCGTACCAGCCTTGAAGCTGAGCTCGTCCTGCTCCTGGCCGTCGTAGTCGTAGAGTGCCCGCACACGCACTCCCTTGGCGTCATCCTCGAAGGGGTTGGAACCTCCATTGGCCTCGTTACCCCCAAATGGGTTCCCACTCTCATCGTCTGACCACTCAGTGGCGTAAGTCTGGCCCCGATCATAGCTGCTAACGCTGAGGAGAGGAGAGAGGACCCAGGACCCAGCAAAAATTACTTCTCTCCTCCTCCGTGGAGTTGCCCTGGCTTCAGATTCTACCCAGGGGGGCAAGTGAAATTCCTCCTGGGGCAGAGGTTGTGAATCAGGTAAGAGGAAAGGAGAGTCAGTGACTCTCACTGGCAGCTTAGACAGGAGGCAGGACCATTAGCACTATCTAGCCTTGTGTGTGTGTGTGTGTGTGTGTGTGTGTGTTGGGGGCAGTTTTGAAGGGGTCCCCAGGGTCCATCTGAGCCCTTAACTGAGGGGGCAGTACAACCTAGTGATTGAGAGAGAGGATTCTGCAGCCAGACTGCTGGGCTCTGAGGCTTACTAACTAGCTGTGTGACCTTGGGCAAGTTTCTTGACTTCTCTAAGTTTCAGTTTCTCCGTTTATAAAAATGGGAATATTTATACTTCTCACATGTTAGGAGGCTTGAGTAAGTAAATATATGGAAAAATTTGGAACTAGTGCCTAGCAATTAACAGTAGTTGTTCTGGAAACTATCTACTACTATATCTGCTGTGATTAAGACCATTTCTTGTTTTCTGAGGTAAAACTCAGTTGTCCTAGCACGGGGTCCCTGCTGATTCCCAGGGAGCACCGTAGGGGCCACTCACCTGCCACGGTCGCCAGCCTGAGATGTGGACTCCGCCACCCCAGTGGCGTTGGCCAGTGACACCCCCTCTGCCTTCTTGGGCTGTTTCTCCTTCTTGGCAGCAGTGTGAGGGAGGTCTGGGTTCCACTCCTGGGGGAGCCGGGCCAACAGTCAGGCTGGAGGGTTGCCCCCTACAGCCCTTTCCAGCCTCTTCAGAGCAGGTGTTTGAACAGTGCCAGCAATTTGAAGAAAAGCGGAGTCCCCTTCTCCATCCCCACGCATCCTCACCTCAAACTGGGGCCAGTTCATGGGCATGCCGGGGCCACTGGTGCTTCGGAACCATCTGAGGTCGTCCTGGGCGTCCGCCCCGCGGATGGCTTGCTCCAGCTCTCGGTACACATGGACGTAGCTGTGCACAGGGGAGGGGGGAAGGCAAGATGCACCATGGCCCTTTGCAACCTCTGGGAGAGCCAGTCAGTGCCCATTCAGGGGATCAGGCATGCCCCCCAGCCAAGCATCAGCTGGGTTTCCCAAAGGGCCATCTCCTGTGGGCAGTTCCAGGTACACCCATTGCCCATCGCTTCTCCGGTCCCAGGTGATCATTCACACATCCATCCAGGAGGGATGTACAACCCCAGTACCCAGTGCAAGTAGTACCAGCTTGCACCCAGGTACCCACTGTATCCAAAACCTCTTCCTCTGGCCCTGCAGCCCCCCACTTCGAGTCACTATAATTTAAGGCCAGGATGCCCAGCACCCCAGTTCCATCTTCTGCAGGCCCTGTGTCCATGTCCCCCTGATGCCCTGCCCAGCTACCTGCTGTTCTCAGCTAGGTTCAGGTGACGTTTGATATCCAGCAGCACCTCCTTGAGGAAGACCAGCCGCTTTTCTTCAAATTGCTGGCACTGTTCAAACACCTGCTCCATGCCCTCCATGTACTGGGGAGTGGTCTTGCCCACATCGTCCAGCACCTTCTCATACTTCTCCTGCGTCTATATAGGGAACCAAGGCAAAGGAGGGTGAGAGCTGGGCCTGCAGCCCCAGCCACCGCCCCTCCCAAGGACCGTCACAGGCCTGCCCCGTGGACCTTCTGCACGTCCTGCTTGCATTTGTCCACTTTGTCCTGCAGCTTCTTCTGCTGCTCCGGCGTGACGGACTGCTCTGTCTTGCTGTTCATCTCCCGCGTCACGGCCAGCTTCTCCTCTTTGCAGGCCAGATGGTAGGCCTTCTTGGCTGCCTCAAGCTGTGGGGGAGGGGCAGGGCTCCTACTTGTGAGCAGGAGCAAATGTGGTCACACAGCAACCCTCCCACCTGTGCACTCCACGGGGACCAAGGAGCACACAGCCTTGCAAGGCAGAGGGATGAGGAGCCCGGCGCCAGGTCTTTGGGATAAGTGTCCACCCACCTACAGACAGCCCCCGGCATGGCACTGCCCTCTGCCCTTTCAGACATGCTCCAGTGGGGCAGTACAGGGGCCACCACATCGCCCTCCTGCCCCTGCTGGTATCATTTCTGAGGACAGTAACCCCTTTTGCCCATGCATCTCTACCATGGGGTGCTGCCTGCCACATCTGTGGCTATTTCTTCCTGGAAGGCAGTGCTCTCCCCTGTGGGCACAGTCCCAGGGCACTGTGCACTGCCAGAGCCATCTGTGGATCCCCTCCCTCTGATCTGACGGCCCCCCTGGCCCCCCGAGTCTTAGCCGCCCACCGAGCACCTCTTTCATCTTCTTGGCCCAGGGCTTCTGGGCCTTGCGGAAGCCATCTTCAGCCTCCTTGGTCTCCTTGAAGCTGCCCATCATCTGCTTGTGGAAGGCCTCCTTCTGCCAGTTCTTGACCTTCTCCAGGTCCTCGTTCAGCAAGCTGTTCTTCACCTCCTGGTGCAGTTCGCTCACCTTGTCTGCCTCCGTCATTATGGCACCCCAGGCCCGCTCTAGACTGCCATACTGTGGTCCTAAAGAAATGGCCATGGGGGTCACAAGGCCCTCATCACCCCCAGTCCAGAGCCCCCCCCCACCTCCATGTTTCTCTTCTCTAAGGCTGTCCTCTTCTTGTGACAGCAGAAATGTCCCCATTTGCTCCCCCTACAGTTTTATCTATCTTCCAGGACCCAAATATATAGCCACCTCCTCCAGAAGCCTTCTCTGATGCCTCTACCCTCATACACCTTGGCCTGTAGTTCTCTCTGAGTTCTCACAGCATCCGCCTCTATGCCCTCTCCTGTCTCCATAGTCAGGTTGTGAGCCATTTTGGGGGCAGCCCAGACTCTGAGCTCTCATAAGCCCAGTACAGCACCAGGCATATAATAGGAGCTTGAGGGAAATGGACCGATTGTAAAACTCAAGAATCAACTGATGACAGATGCCAGGAAGCCACCGGGACAGACATTCCAGTCATCTCACTTGGGCGTGACATGACTCTGCCAGGTATTCTGCTGGATAGTAGTAGCCCAGACCCGGTTATGGGGGCTTGGTTTGTGGAGCAAAGAAAAGCATTAGCTAATGTGTGTAAACTCCAACTTGAAACTGTTCTAGATTGAAAGAATGGATAGGACAACTGAAAGTGATGTTTTGGGGTTGGGTCCTGGACCAGCACAATCGCTATAGTGAAACTTATTTATGGGTCATATTAAATTTCCTGAATTTAGACTATCAAATCATAGTTTTTAAGCAAATGGAAACACAGGAAGAATTTAGGGTGAAAGGCCGAGTTTCCAACTTAAATGTTTCTAAACATAAGCATGTAAATAGAGAGGAAGTGAGACAATAAGTGTGGTAAAATGCCAACCACTAGTGCACCTCGGTAAAATGCATATGGGCAGTCTGTGTGCTATTCTTTCTCTAACTTTAAATTATTTTAAATAAAAGGTGGGCTTCTTAAAGTCAAACCAAAAATAGTGATACAACGTGGGGTTGACAGGAATTGAGAGGCCCGGCGTGGCCTGAGAGAAGGAGCGTGCTGGTAAGGGACAGCACCTGCAAAGGTCCTGGGGCTGTAGGATGCAGGGCCCAGACAGTGAGGTCAGGCCCTGGGGTGTGTGCAGGGGTGGACAGGGGGGCACCTTTCTCGATGAGCTGGCGCCAGCGCTTGGCCCAGTCGGTGAGCTGCTGCGCGTACGCCTTCTCGATCTTGGCGCGCTCCTGCACGCAGTTCATCAGGTCGTTGCACAGACGGTGCCCGTCATCGATGCGCTTCACAGTCCGCTTGTAGTTCCCCACCTGGCGGCCAAGCAGCAAGCAGGACTCCCGCGAGCTCCCCGCCTCCCCGCCTCCCCGCCCGCCCTGCTCTCCGCTTCCTGCAGGGGGCGCCCGCACGTCCATCCCGGGTCCTCCCCGTTTCCCTCTCCTCCCCACCGTTCCTGGCTGCGTCACTGCTCCTACTCCCCCACAACACCTTGGGGGATCCGTATTGTCTCATAATCAGAGGCCCCAGCGCTCGGCTGCGCACCCCGCCGTCTATATATGTTCCCTCTCCCTACTATTCCATTTAACACATAATTTTCTCCTTGCCACAACACGCAGAAGGATTTTTATGATTTGGACTTGGGCTAAAATGAATTATTCATTTTGTTCTTGAGAACCAAATTTATTATTTTTATATAGAGTCATATAAGCATTGAGTTGAGCTGCAGCTTCTTGACATAATATTATGTTTTGTAGACATCTCATTAAACACTTATTAATTTAGGTTTGGCAGTTTTCGTTTTGGGTTTCGGGAGCCAATAGAAAAAAAAAATGTATTTTCTGGCTCTCAAGTATTTGCAGCACCTGTCTTTGTGAATGCCAGGAGGGTGAGCCAGAGGATTGGAGGATTAGAAAGGACTGATATGCCACGGGACCTCACCAGGGGCAGCTACGGGGCAAAAGGCCCAGGGGGCAGTAGTTTGACCACACTCCGTGGCTACAGCAGCCCACTGGACATGGAAGGCCTTATCAAAGCCTAGAGACTGAGGGTCAAGGCCTGCGGTCATAGAATGGGTGGGTGGCTATGTCTCCAAGCAGGCAGACTGTCTGGTCTCCCGAACTTGAGAACTATCGAAATCTCACCTCCCAAAAGCTGTCAGTGGTCTCCTCCGTAGCCAGCGAGGCCTCATCGTAGGAGCCAGACATGGTGCGGCCGTGGAGGGGCGGAGAGGCGTGGGGTGGCAGTCAACGGGCTCTGGGCTGCTCGTGCACTGGGTGGGTAGGAGAGAGATCCTGGAGGTGAGGGAAGTGGCCCCATGTGCCCCACTCCAGGCCTGGCGCCTCCACTTACTGTGGGCACAAGAGCTCCAAAGTCATGTGGGATGGGGACTTCCTGCCCAGGGATTGGCTCACCAACCCTAGGGTGACCCCAAGATTGGCCTCGATGCACCCCTCCTGCCCACCTTCCCATCTCTTCTCCATGAGCCTTCTCCTTCCCCTCTCCCCCAATATCTCCTCCAGCTCAAGTGTGGGCACCTCTTCTCAGAAGCCCACCCCAGCCACGGGCAGCAAACTTCTCAGAGAGCTACAAGCAAGGGACATGCACTTATGTATCGGCTTTACCTGTGGCCCAGCAGCCTGTAGGGGCCAAAGAACCCTAGTTGGCTTCTCAACTCTGCCCCCCCCACCTCTGCCCACCCTGATCCAGATGGGTCTTCGCCCTAAGCCCAAAACACTCTCCCCAGCTTCCCTGTCCCCAACTTGGAGCCTGGAAGCTGCCAACAGGAATCCCCTCTCCTCTGGCTCAGGCGAGGCATCTCTTTAGTTCTCTGAGCTGCTGGGCCCCCGGTAACTGGCTGCCCCAGTGCCAACCTCAGAAGCCTCCATTAACGCTTACATGTCTCCTGAGTCCCAGGCATGCAGCTCCCTGGACCACAGGTCAGATGCGGTGACCTGTGAGCGCCGGGGTGGCCGTGTGTGCCCTGGATCTGTCGGCTGGCATCACAGCTATCTAATCTAGGCCGTGTGCTGCCCGAGGGAGGGGCGGGCCGCCAGTTCCCAGCCCCCCACCCAGGCCTCACTGTCACCCCAGACAAGAGTGGCCGGGCAGTGAGAAGAGAGGACCCAGAGCGCGATGGGCCTGCTCTTCCAAGGGGCAGGGGTCAGGTCAGGCTTGCCCCACAGGGAGCTACTAACCCACACAGGGGACATCCAGGGACCCTCCCTGCCTCTGCACTGCAGCGCATGGTGAACCTGACCAGTGAGGATGTGAGGGACAGCCAGCCTCTGTAGGACTCAGCCCACTTTGGGGGCCCAGGGGCCCCCACCCTTTACCAGCAGCTGTCCCTGCGGCTCAGGTGGCACCAACCCATGAGCACCCCCTCTCTGGCCTCAGACTCCCCATCTGTCCAGGGGCTACTGTTCTTTTCCCAGTTACAAGCCAGTCCTTTCTCCTTGCTGCGTGTAAGCACCTACATTCTTTTGCTCCTTTCTCCCTTGCAAAACTGCAGACTAACTTTCCCACCAACTTAAGCCGTGAGCAGGTGGGTAGGAAGGAAGGTGAGTGGATTTCATCAGAGGGCAAAGGAATGACTCTGAGTTATTTTAGCGTCTTCATTTGGCACTTACAAGGCAGGACTCGCTTCAGAAAGAGCATCTGGAATTTAGGCTTGGAGCAGTGAGAGGCAGGGATGTTTAAGGACGGACTTCAGGCCAGCTCACGTCAGTACCCCAGCACGAGACCGTGCTAGACCCTTGAAGGTGCAGGAAACTCCGCTCTCTGGGAGGCCACGGTGTGCATGGGCGCTGGGGTGGTGGGAAGACGGGAGCTGGGACGGGGGACCTGCCCTCACGGGCATGGAGATGGAACTCATCCGGGGAATGGGGAAGGGACTGCACACATGATGGGGACAACTTGGTGTCCTGTCTCTCCACTACAGAGGACGCATCCTTCCCCCAGAGACACCACCCCTAGGTGTTTAGCTTCCAGCCCAATGGGTGAACTGATGGTGTCCAATTTTTTTCCTGCAGCGCTGCTTGTGAAAGCCAAAGGCTGGAGACCACCCAGGTGCCTGTCCACGGGGACTGGCCAAGAGAGTCATGGAGCAGGCCCGCAAGGGAATGCTCTGGTCAGGAGCGGGGACCCCCCAGGGCCCTGTCACTCCTGCCACATGAGCAACAGTGTGACTGTGGGCGCCTGTGTTTGTCTGGGGGACACATGAGCAGAGAGTATTTTTGGAACATCAGTGTGGCGTTTGCCTGTGGAGAACTGGCCGGCCGGGGGCTGGGTGGGAGGGAGGTTTTCCATGGTCGCTCCTATGTGTCTCTTAAATTGCATATTTTTTTTAAAAGATATATTTATTTCTGCATACAGAACTGGGGTACAGGCCAGAGGTGCAGGGATGGTGAGAGGATTCACCAGAGACAGAGTGGGGAGCAGAACGGGCAGATCAATGAAGTACACTGCTGAGGGGAGCAGCGGGCGGGTCAGGAGAGGTCTGCCGCGCCATGTGGGTCACCTCCAGGGCAGGCGGGGATCGAACTCATGCCAAAGTGGCTTTAGCTTCTTAGTGCTGTGCTTTAACCTGCTGCACCACCAGGGAGGGCCCCAAATCACATATTTTCATAAAACCTCCAGCCTGTATTAGAGGAGAGCCAAGAGAGCTGGGGAAAGAGGGTGCACTCCAAGCTGAGTCCTGGCCTGTTGGGTGAAAAGGGAATGAAGGGAGGCAGAGAGACCCGGGAGGTGTGACTTGCTGTGCTCCTGCCCTTGGTATAGGCCGGTAGTGGCCCCCCCAGGCCCCCCACTGAGGGAGCCGGTATAGTGGAAACGGGCCTCGCCTTGGTTTCCCTGTTCTGCCCATCAAACTGCTATGTGGCCTTGGGCAGGGCCTCGTCAAGAAAGGAAGACAACAAACCCAAGAGCGAATGAGATGGTGAGGTCCAGCCCACTGCAGCCTCAGGTTGGATCTGCACAGAGGTGCCAGGGAGGACAGGCAGGTGGGTGAAGAGAGGTTGTGGGAGGGGTGAGTCCCCAGCCCCCACCCATGGCCAGACACACCATCCTGCCCTGGCCTGCCTCCTGCAAATCACCTCCTGCAAAATGGCCTCACACCCCCATCCCCACGCTGGGAGCAGGTGAGAGGCTTAACACTTAGTAAAGCTATATCCTTCTGGAAGGGTGGTCAGGAGCTGCATCTCTCAGCCACTCCCTGGGCAAACCCAGATGCTGTTAGTTTTCCTCAACCAGGCAAATGGGCGCAACGCCCACCTGACTTGCCTCATGGTGGCTGTGGTGCCGCTGCAGCCCTGGGGCCTTCATCGTTAATGGCATCCACTGGCACCGAGGGTGTGCAGACATCTCGGGCTGTCCACGTGTCCTCACGTGTCTGCAGCGGCCCACACCCCTAGTGCAGGTGCTATTGTCACCCCACTTTGTAGACAAGACTCCTGAGGCTGAGACATGGCTGTGGAAGAGCATGTCAGTTGTCATTAAGGAGCTGCCCGCCCCCTGCTGCCACAGCGGGGTGCCAGGCCCTCTCTTCTGTGGAGTCAGGGAAGGTGCCCCTCCTCAGGTGGGTGTGGCCCTCAGCAGGCAGAATGGCGGGCCGGGGACCCCCACCACTTGCCAGCAAGGTACCAGCCAAGCCCCATCACTGGGTTTTCTGACATGATGAGAAAAGAAGACTTAAGCTTATTTTGAAGAGCAGGTGATAAAAGGGCACCATGCCGTTGCTGAAAAATACAGACCACCATGGAAATGTCATGCTTCAGTGCTGGCTCTGACCTTTCCTTCAAGGAGGCATCCTCCGGTGAAAGACATGCCTCCTGGCGTGCAGGCTGCTGGGAGGTGCCTCCAAGCGGCCCTGCACCACAGAGGACTCGGTCGTGCTCTCTGTACCCCGTTTCGAGCAGGAGCAGAGGACTGAAGAGCCTGTGCCTCCAGCGGGCAGGCCTGGAGTGGACCAAGTGTTATGCAGATTCCTATATCATTCGCCACTAACCACCACAGGCCTTGGTATCAGCCGGCCCCTCCTCCTCCTCCCACCCCATCCCATCAACAGATCTGAGTTCCACTTCAGCACCCTGGCTTCCAGGGCCCATCATCCCCCTGCAGTAGCCTCCTCACTGGCTTCCTGCCTCTGACCTTTTTTGTCTCTCCTCCGCACCAGTCTGTTCCCCACACAGCAGCCAGAAGGAAGCTGGTAAAAGCGAAGTGCGGTTCCTTATTCAAAATCCTCTCACAACTCCCATTTCTGTCAAGCAACGTTCTAATTCCTTGCCAGGAGTCCTTGCCTCACATGAGCTCCACCCAACCAGCTTCCCCCGTGCCCAGCTCAGAGCAGCACTCCATGCGTGTCACCCTGCCCTCCTGGCCTGAGGGCCGGCTCAACTCAAATCAGGGAAGCCAGAGCTGCCTGCCCCTCCCCGTCCCCCAGTGATCAGGACGTCACATTCTCAGCAGCATCTCTGCTCCCACGTCACCCGAAGAGGATGGGCTCACCATGTCTGGAGCTGCACAAGGACTCTCTATAGCCTCTGCAGTTGCAGCAAGAAGGACCCAGGTTAGCTGGGAGATGCTGTCCTTCCACCCATCAAACCCCCACCCCCCCCAGCCCTCCCCCACCCCCCTGGAGTTCATTCCAGTCTCTGCTCCTGGGCTCACCCCTTCCCTCCTGCCTGGGGTGTGTGTGCTGTTTCCTCCCACCATTCACCTCTCCAGAAATTGCCCTGACTCTTTCAAGGGCCAGGTCAGGCCCACTCCCTCCAAGAAGCCTTCCCCGAATACCCCGGCTCTCTTCTTCCCCAGCCCCTGCGTTGGCTGGCGGGCTTCCTAGTAGCCCAGCCATCCACCATGTCATGCCAGTCGAGGCGGCAGCACAGAAACTTCCGCCAGGCCAGCTCTGAGGCAGAGAGAAGGGCTCGCCAGGGGGACCAGGCAGGCAGATCCTGGCTTTGTAAGATGTTTGCGACTTTAGCAAGCTGTTTCAACTCCCTGTGCCTCAGTTTCCTTGTCTGCAAAATGGAGGTGCTGCTACCACCTGCCCCATGGGGTTGCTGTGAGGAGGAAAGGAGTAAGCAGTAACTAGGAAGTACCACTGAAGCATTATTGTTATTATTATGGGTATCATTACCTGCTTCCCACGGCCACAGGCCTTTCAAAACAGATTCTTGAGGCCCCCCCTGGTGGCACAAGGGGTTAAGTTGCAGCTCTATGAAGCTATTTGCTGCACAAGTTCGATCCCCAGCCATTGGAGGTGACCCACATGGC